AAAAGCCTAGGAGCTCTCGCTTATCTGTGATTCTTTGATGAGTTCCAGGTACACCCTACACTGAGACTCAATTATATGCCTTATTTCTTCGGCTGTTAAAATATCTTCTCTGACAGTTCCATCTAAATCGGGCACTTACCATTATTCCTTCATCTTCTAGTGCAGAAAAATACACTACTCAACATCATACATGTATTTCTCCAGGAGGCTAAGAGTATACAGAAGTATATACAGGGTTACTGTTGGGTTATGGGTTCATATCTAGGTTCCTCTGTTTCCATGTGATGCAATCCTCATTGTAAGAAGTCCATAAGTTTCTCCATCTCTAAAACAGTAGCGATGGAAACAGATATTGTCTCAGGGAGACAGCTTGGCTGGTACAGTGCTTGCTGTGTGAGCGTGAAAACCCGTGTTCAGTCACTAGAACCCATTTAACACATCTAGCAGTGGTAGTGCATGTGGATCACCCCAGAGCTAGGGAAGCAGGGACCAGTGGGTCTCTGGAATTTGGTGGCCAGCCAGCTTCACTTAATTAGTGCATTTGTGGGCAGTAGGAGAGCCAGTCTCAAAAATAAATGATGACAGATAGATAATAGATAGATAGACAGACAGACAGACAGACAGACAGATAGATGATAGATAGATAGATGAAAGACAGATATAGATAGATAATAGATTGATGATTGATTGGTGATTGATTGATAGATAGATGATAGATGTATGGATGGATAGACATGATGGATAGACAGATGATACATATAGATAGATGATAGATACATCTCTCTATAGAGACATGGATAGACAGATGATAGGTGATACTTAGATAATAGATAAAAGATAGATAGATAACAAACTGAAGTGGATGGTGCATAAGGAACACCCCCCATGGTGGATCTCTGACCTCGATGCATATGGGTACACATGATCATGATCATGCACACAGGTATCCCTCCCCACTCATATATGTACACATACAAAATATAGTTCCTATTTCAAATGCACTATAATAAGAATGAAACAAGTTACCATGTGTGTGCAGTTAGTTCTTAGGTGTGTACTTGAGACCATGTGACTATTCCGCTATCTTCAGCTGTTTATTGACTGTCAGTCTGTTGCAATGTGCAGTAGGGACAGGACTTTGTCTTGCCCTGAAATGTTCACAGTGGCCAATGTTCAGTGCTTCTGAAGCACACACCAAACCCAGAATAAATATCTGTCACCTTCAAATGTGAATGGCAAAGGCCTGTGGGGCTTTTGTCCAAGTCCACAAAGCAGAGATCATTCTGTTACTTGTAACCTAAACCTCTCCTCATTTCGGAATCCTTAATTCTGTATGTATGGGATTGCTGTCAAGTGACATTACTTTGATTGGCATGTGCTGATAAGCAAAGTTCAGAGGGCCAGTTACCAAGAGCCAGAGAAAGAAATACAAGCTTTCCTCCTAGTACAAGCAGACTTAACATTTTGAGAGAATTTCCATTTTAACAAACTATCACCCACGTAATGAAGCCAAACCACTTCAGTGGATATTTGTTAGCTTTGTCTCTGCTTCTGCTTTTGGAGCTGTCTACTGCTACATGGCTGTTCATAGCTGATGCTCTAGAAAACAGTCTACAGTGCTCTGGCACCTTCTGCTGATGAACTTGAGAACTTTCCCTGCTCTCTAGCATATAACTGCTATGAGTCACTCTTCATGGCTCAAACTCAGGGAGAATCCAAATCAGATGCCTGGTGCCTTTGGCATTTGCTTCCATAGGTCAGAGTTAGCTACAGAGACTCTTGGCCAGCTGTTGCTAAGAGTCCTCTGTAGAAGACAGCATGGCAGTAGTCAGTAATTTTATCCTTAATACCAACTTCTGTAAATTGCTTGTACCTTATACCATGTAAGTCAGCAGAAGGAGCATCTGTCTCCAAGAAACCGACAGGAGAGTTTAGTCCCCTGTCTGATACTCTCTTCTATCTCTACCAATATGGATTTTTCTAGTTATACTAATGGTTATTTCTCCCTAGCAAGAAGCCTGTAAAGAATGTGCTGTTTGCTGACTGAGACAGATACAGAGAACCACAGGCCCTAAAGGGGATAGAAACTCCACAAGAGGACCAACAGAGTCAATTAAACAGGATCCTTGGGGCTCTCAGAGACTGACCCACCAACCAGAGAGCATACATGGGTTGGACCTACGTAGCAGATGTGCAGCTCAGCCTCCAAGTAGGTCCCCCAACAACTGGAGCAGGGGGTGTCCCTAAAGCAGCTGCTTGTCTATGGAATCTGTTCCCCAACTGGACTGCTCTGTCTGGCCTCAGTGGGAGAGGAAGTGCCTAATCCTGCAGAGAGTTGATACACCAGGCTAGGGGGATATCCAGGGCAACCTCATATTCTCAGAGGAGAAGGGAGTGGAGATGAGGGAAGGGACTCTGCAGGGAGGCAGCAATTAGGATGTAAAATGAATAAATAAGCAAATTAATTAATGGAGAAACACACACACACACACACAAGAATATGCTGCTCTCACAGAGGCAACATTTGAGACTGGTCCCCTGTCTTGAACTCTTTATTTCTACCTGGTCCTCACTGGCCGGCTGACTCTTCACCATTTAAAGTATAACAGTACACAACTCAGTATCTTCCTCACCCAAACCTGCCACCTTGCCTGGGCCCAGGTCTAAGTTTATCTCCATCTTCTGGCCACTGCCCTTATGTGGGCAGCATGGATAAGAACATGTTCTCTGGATGGAAATCCTAGCTTTGGAATTTGCCAGGGATGTGTGTCACAGGCTAGGCTTTTGCCCTCATTTCTCCACCTGTAAAATGAAGTTCTTCTTTATACGTTTACCATGGAAATCAAAAGCAATCATAAACGGGTGCTCAGACAGACAGAGAGTAGGTACCACCATGTCTGGAGGCACTGAGGAAACCCACCTCTACCCACTTACTATTCATTGAGGACTGTTCTCGTTGCTCTGTCCCTCTCCCTTCCCCCCTGCAGACTTCCAGCTCACATCCATTGCATTTTGTGTTCACATTGATACATACTAAGCCAGTGTTATCTCTTCTCTCCTTCTATTCCTTAAAGGGTTGCCAAATACTTTATAAGTCCATGTAAGTCTACAATCAAAGACCTTTGGTGGATCTCCCATGTCCGGATAGCATTATCCTGAGCAGGGCTTTAGAGAGTCTATATGCTCCAATATCTTTTTTTTTTTTTCAGCTTCAACTCCTAACACGCTCCATCTTTCTGCCCTGTCTATTCTTCCCCTTCCTCCACAGATCCACCAGGCTTCTGGCATGTGTGCGTCTGAGCTGACTGCTTCAGCTACTCAGGCTCTAGACACGGATAACTTTTCCTGAACAGCCCAGTCCTCTGAGAACTGGGAAGCTTTGCTTCTGTGTGAATCTGGGGCTGTGTTGTTATTTACATTTGCCTCTGTTCCACACTCAACTAAGTCTTGGCACTCAGGTAAGCCTCGATGAGTGGATGGAGACAGAACAGCCATCCTAGAAGCTGCCTAACATCCAACCTGTTTGCCCCTGGTTAATGAAGGTTCTCTTCAAATCAGCATCCTAGCTCAGCTTAAGGAGCACCAAAGAGCCATCTCAACAGAAAGCATGCAAGAATCGTAGCAGCAGCAGCCCTCTGAGAAGGAGATAGGTTCAATGAATGCAGGCTCAATACTAGTATTCCAACACTCTCTTTCTGATTTTGGCACTTACTCAGGAATGCCAGGCAATCCCTCCACTTACCCTCTCCAGTTGAATTTTTGTGTGTGGGTGAGGATTTCAAAGCCTGTCCACATGGCCACACACAGTCTCAGGTAGAAGAACGAAGACGGTATTGAAGGCAATCCTTTAAGGTAGACTCTGTCAACTGCCCACTGCAGCAGCCTATAGGGTGGGACATAGAGGGGACACAAGCCAGGAATGAAGTCTTGAATGTGGTTACCAATTTCCCTCAAACTTTCCCAAAGTTTTTGGGCTGGAGAGATGGGTGAGTGGTTAAGAGCACTGGCTGCTCTTCCAGAGGACCTGGGTTCAATTCCCAACACCCACATGGCAGTTCACAACTGCAGGTAACTCGAGTTGCAGGGGTCTGGTACCCTCATATAGACATACATGCAGTCAAAATGTCAATGCACGTAAAATGAAAATAAAATAAAAAACCTTTCCAAAGTCTCTAAAGATCCTTTGAGTTAAGAAATGAGTCTTCTAATCAGCCTTAGCAGTCTAGCATCTTTGAAAATTTGCCACTAAACTGGTACAAGGCAGCTCAATGGTAGTCTATAGGTCAGCGTGAATCTTGACATTTGCCAGTTTATTGCCATTTCTTATCCTGGAAGTCTGGAGTTGTCATATCAGCCTGCATTCATGGCCATGGCAAGTATGAGCAGACAGTGGAGAGGAATGTGAGCTACAGCAGCCAGGAAAAGGCCCTGCCATTGTCCAGGCCACCAGTCACCGGCTATTATCTATGTCTCTCTAGACTTGAAAAGGGAGGGAGCGTGACCTCTGCTTTGTATACCCGACTTCCAGACCAAAGGTTAGGCTCTAGTAGAATTAAGTGATTGTCAAATAAATCAACATGCCCTCCAGAGAGGCACTCAGAACAGGGCCAACAAGTCCTGTTTTCACATGTGGGAAGTATTCTTTCTTGGTGTCTGTTACATCAACTATGTACATTAACATTTTTAGCTCTGAAATTTAGGGAGCTGTGTAAAAGTTCTTTCTGGGCCTGGGCCTCTATGGAAGAACACATAATGAGAAGAGTATTTGTTTGAAGTCAGATACATAACCTCAGCTTACCGGTATCATCCCATTTCCTGTCAGACAAAGATGCATCTCCAGGACAGCTTGGGAGATTTACTCTTTGGTTCTTCTACACCCTGTACCTGAGTTACAGAGTAACTTGCCAACAGTGCTCCAGAATTCACCACTAATGAGCTAGAGCAAAGTCCACAACAGGTTTCATGGAAAAGTGCGAGCAAAGGCCAGCGCTCCAGGAAAGGATTACCACAGAGTAGGGCCAAGTCTCCTGTCCTGAGTGAGGATCCCTGAGCCAGCCCTAGCAGTGGGGACCATGAGCTCCGTGCTGGCAATCTTCTTGCAGGAACTCCCAGGCCCGGTTCTGGTCCTGGGGATCTTCCTGCCTGTGACCTTGCTGCTTCTCCTCCTGATTGCCTACTTCAGGATCAAACTGATGGCAGGTAAGTGTGAAGCCCCACAAGGAAGGGTTTGGTTCATCTGTGAAACACATCAAAGCCTGCAGATGTTCTGGGAAGCTGGAGAAATATATCTTTTTGATTGACAGATTTCTCTCCCCCAGCCTTCTCTTGATGAATTGGGTAAAGTTTGATATTTTCAACTCTGTAGGTTGTGAGGTACATAGGGCTTGACATGGGGCCTTGCTATAGGGCCTCCTTCACTGTGGTTCCCTGTAGACAGTCAACTGTAAACCACCAAACTGGACATAGGATTGCTTGTTTATCTCTCAAGGCATCAGACTCACAAGTATTAATGCTGTCCATGGTCTGCCTCCCCTATGTCACAGGTGTGTGTGTGTATGTGTGTGTGTGTGTGTGTGTGTGTGTTAGCCCTCATAAGGACTACTGGCAGTCCCAGGAGCATTGGATCCCCGCTGACACTAAGTGCCACTGGGAGACAAGGGATTTGGATGGCCCAGTTGGGAGCTAGTCCACTGTCCAACTCTCACACCTTATTTCTGCTGCGTCCTTCACGAGATAAACTCTTTAGAACCTCACAGATGAGTCAAGTGTGACGTGAGGCATGGAGCAAGTCAAGATGGTCTCAAGTTTACACACATGTTTTCATGGCTTGCACACATGCATATACCCACGAACATGTATGTGTGCATATACCTTCTTCAGCCTCTGAACTTCTGCTTAAGAAATTATTCCAAGCATTATGCTGTCAGTGTTTAGTCAATGCAAAACACTGGATACTGGACTGAAGCAGAAATTTCCTATAGAATGTGTGTGTGTGTATATATATATCTGTATATAATATATATATACATATATATATGCATTCTAAATATAACTATATCATGAGAAACACAAGTGAGTACACAGTATTTGACAAGTATTTAGAGAAATATATTCACACACACACAGTATGTATATATAATATATATATGTGTATACACACACACACACACACACACACACACACACATATATATATATATATGTATATATATATATATATATATATATATATATATATATATATATATGCAGACTACATTCAGAAGCTTAAGGCTAGCAAAATTGAGCATTTTGGCCCTGGGTCCTGGGTCCTGGATTGAGATTGTTTGCTCTGGAGCTGGGCTGTGTAATGAGAGGCTTCACTTTCAGTAAATTTTGGTTTTCAGTAAATTCTAGATGCCATAAAGGTTAATTTATTTTAGTAATGTCACTAAAATTCAACTTACTTCTTAATTTGGATGGTTTCATATTAAACTACTGAAAGACCAAGTTTGAAAGTTGGCCATGGTTGTGCACAGCTGTAATTCTAGTACCCAGGGAGCTGAGACAGGAGGCTGCTTAAATTTGAGTTGAGCCTGAACTACAGCACTATATTCTGTTTTAAAACGATTGCAAAGTCTTTGCTCTACTACAAAACTTGCCCCTGTTCAAGCAATGCCCTCCTGCATACTCTTCAGTAATTAGGAACAACAGGCCCCAGCAGCAGCCCAATCAGGGGCGCTCACCTCTACGCTGAGACATGAGACGTAGAACACAGGGAGCCCCAAGAGGACAAAAACTGCGTTACAGAATGCTGCTTCCCATCAGGGCCTCCAGGAGAATTCTGCAGCCCAATGGTTCTCAATCTCCCTAAAGCTGCGGTCCTTTACCACAATTCTTCATGTTGCCGTGACCCCGACCGTAGAATTATGTTCGTTGCTACTTCATAACTATACAGTTGCTGCTGTTATGAATTATAATGTAAACATCTTTGTTTTCCGATGGCCCTGGGTGACCCCCTGTGAAGGACTGTTGTGCTCCGTAGGGGTGGAGCCCCACAGGTTGAGAGCCATTGCTGTAGCCTTTCATTCTGTTTCATTTTTATGAATCGGTCTCCTGCAGGATGGTTCGGGGACACTGCGCCGTCCTCTAAAGGATCCACGCCATAAATCCTTTTCTTTGTAAAGTTTGTCACACCCCTCCCTGTCCCCAAGATCAGACTTCTAGAAATTCTGTACCGAGATATTTAAGATTCCCAAACCTCGGAAAAACTCCTAAACAAAAAAGGAACTGAAAAATCACGACCCACAAACATTTGCAGCAGTGTTCCTTCAATCCTGCATGCTGGCTCACTGCCTGGGGCTACAAACATTTCTATGCAGAAGCGCCCCCCCCCAAAGTTGCTGCAGTGACCACGGCCCCCACTGACACTGGAGAGCAGAAGTGGGTGTCAGTCAAGGGCTTGCATTCCTCACGTACTTAAGTTTTATCTCCAGTTGCCTCTTTAGCTTGATAAATCCTACAGTGTACAGTGTCTCAAAAGACGCCATCAAGCGCAAAACAAGGCAAACAGATTACAAAACCCTCTTGGATTTCATTCTCTCAGTGGCCTCTGCTCAACAGTTACCATAGATTGGATGATTCTGTGGGGTGTTGGTAGTCTATAAAAAGATGACAGCTCAGTTCTACAGCTTTTCTTATCCCTGAGGAAATACCTGTACCATTAGAAACGCAAGTGGGTACACAGTATTTTACTTAAGCATTTAGATAACTCCGAGGTCTAAGCAAATCAATCATACACCTCAGAACAACCCTGAAAGGCCAGCCTGTAGCTGGAAGTGTGGCCAGGCATCCCTGCCTTGCTTCAGGGGCAATGCAGACCAAGGAAAGGGTGACATTTCATGAATCACAGTCCATTAAGGGAAGGGAAAACAGGAACTCAAGTTGGGTAGGATGGGAGGCAGGAGCAGATACAGAGGTCACGGAGGGATGATGCTTACTGGCTTGCTCGCCTTCATTCTTACAGAACCCAGGACCACCCTCCCAGGGTGGCACTGTCCACAATGGGCTGGGTCCTTCCCAAACAATCACTAATAAGAAAATGTCCTACAGTAGTTACTTCATAACTGTAATTTTGTCATTAGGAACCATAATGTAAATATCCGATATGCAGAATATTAGATATGCAACCTTGTGAAATTTGGCCTCCCAAGAGGTCTTGATCCATAGGTTGAGAACTGCTGCCTCATAGGCTTGGCTACAGTTCAATCTTCTGCAAGCATTTTCTCAGTTGAAGCTTCCTCTTCTCAGAGGACTCAAGCTTGTGTCAAGTTGACATAAAAACCAGTCAAGACAGTGTTGTGGACCACACTGCTCAGCCCAGAATTGTCACATAACACTGTGACTGTTGCATAGCGACCTCCATCTGTCCTGAGCACATCCCTCCCCAGGGAAGCTGTCGGGAGCTCTAGTCACAATAAACACTACACAAGTACATCTGTGGGTCAACAGATAGGGAAGTGCTCTGAAGCATGTGAACACAGGGGGCACATAACTAATACACACTCATCCTTTCTCCCTTTACCCCTTACGATGGTCTGTATATGCTTGGCCCAGGGAGTGGCACTATTTGGAGGTGTGGCCTTGTTGGAGTAGGTGTGTGACTGTCGGCATGTGCTTTAAGACCCTCCTCTAGTCTTCTAGCAGCCTTCAAATGAAGATTTAGAACTCTCAGCAACCCCTGCGCCAGGCCTGCCTGGACATCGCTATACTGCCTTTATGATGATGGACTGAACCTCTGACTTGTAAGCCAGCCCCAACTAAATGTTGTCCTTATAAGACTTGCCTCAGTCATGATGTCCGTTCATAGCAGTAAAACCCTAACTAAGACGCCTCTCCAAATGATGTGACATGCTAGTGAGCGTATCCTAATTCCTGGATTTTCTCAAACATGGGATCTAGTCCTCTCTCAGAACTTTCAGATTTTGACATAAGATTAAACCCTGGAGGTGGGCAGTAACACTGGTAACCTCACACCATGAGGGTCAGTCTGTGGGTGGAGTCCCTCAAAGAGCTTTAAAACTTACTCCAAACTTACATCCCACATCTAGAACGCAACCAGTTGTCAGTCATTCAACAAATATTTGTGAATCTACTTGAGACAGTTTTCTTCTTATGACTAAACACCACAGACTGAGTAGCTTTAAAAAACAAAACTTATTTTGTTTTATAGTTCTGAAGACTGGGAAGTCTCAGGTCAAATGGCCCCATTAAGTGAGGTACCACTTGCTAGTAGAGACCCTGTGGTCCCATAGCAAGAAGAGTGCAACTAAAACACAGATCCTAATTAGTTTTTAAAATAACACATAATCTCACTACTTGTTGATCCATTCATGAAAGTACAGTTCTGTTCTTAAAGGCCTCATCTGGCCCTAGAGCTTTAGAACTTCACAGTGAGGGTAGGTAAAACTTTGGTGACAAACCAAACTAAAGCACTACTGTGTACTATGGCTTGTCCTAGGCACTAGGACAGACTTTCACTATACATTTTTTAGTTCAAGAGGAAACTCTTACATTTAGAAAACAAAACAAAAAGCATCAGTAAAAAATTAATCTAACACCAGAGATGTAAACTTGTATATTTCTGATATTGGCCTCAGGCCAAGTTAAGGCTGAACTCTGCCCTTGAACCTCGTCAAATCTAAACCCTAATCTTTCACTTTTACATCTTTTCCAAAATGTGAAAGCTGTGACCTGTTACCAGGCAGGATCCTCTGAACACCTAAGGGACAACCCAGTGATGAAGTAAACCATCTTCTTCATTGTCACTCTCTTCTGCTGGCTCTGAATAAAGTGTACCCAGGCTGCAGGCAAGGAAGGGAGTGTGGGAAGCTGGAGACAGTGGAAGCACCATTTCTTACAGTGGGACAAGTCTGTGCTTCCGTCACCAAACACAGTGGAAGTCTCAACTCCGGCTTGTTGCTTAAGAACTCTAGTTCTTCCTGTAGTCATTTCCCAACAGGTGTGTAGTACAGGTGTGTAGTACAGGTGTGTAGTACAGGTGTGTAGTACAGGTGTGTAGTACAGGTGTGTAGTACAGGTCCCTCGGCAGTTAAGAGGGCAAACAAGATCCTTTGGCCCCAGGTTAAAACATCACTAGTTTGTATCTCTATTTAACAGCATCCACTTCGAAGTTATAAACACATGGGCAAATGTCATATAGCTAATCTACAGAGAGCTACGAGTGTAAAGATTCCCATTTTGTTTCTATAAAGAGCAGGACACTGACAGATTAACTGGTATGTCACAGAACCCCGGGAGTCCTGCATTATAAAACAGAAAAGCAGCTGGTGGGCTTCCTAAATCCTAGACTGTTAGGCACTGAGAGGCACTTTAGGATGAAACGGAGAGTGAATGGAGGGAATGTCATCACTCAGCAGTCACCCCACTCTGAAAGCCCTGGGAGCTGATGGTGCATGGAAATCTAATTAGTATGTAGAGAACATCAATTTTCTCACGAAGGAAGAAAGAAAATTCTCCAACGTCCTGCACACTTTAGTCTGTCCATTGCTTTGAGGAACAGCTCTTGAGGTGGAGGGCTGGGTCTTAAAACTTTCCAGAAATAGCCAGATGCGCTATCGACCAGGGCCATGGCTATTTTACATATCGTAAGGTGCAAGCTGTGGTTTTCATTGCTCTCCAACATCCTAAAACCCACCTCTAGAATCACCCATCTGCCAGAGTATTATCACCTTGATCGAGAACAAACTGTGCTCTAAAATAACTCACAGCATCAAAAGTTGTCCCTTTATTAAAGTGTATCTGCTGAATGTCCAAAGGTTTAGTTAGACATAAAGTAAGTAAAGCTAACAGGTGATCAGAGAGTGTAGACCTCCGGCGATGTGTGCATTATAAAACAGACAAAGAACGTTTAGACAATACAGTGAGGCTAAAGTCTTTTTCAAACTTCATTCATACATTTTAGTTTTTTTGGAAAGAGGAAAGTAACCAGTTAGCAGAGTGAAGTTGCTAAGTTCCCCGTTTACAGAACCAAATCAATTAGCATTTGAGTCTGGAACATGGCTTCTCTATGTAATCTTCTAAAGCTTTAGGCTCCTTGTCTGTAGGAATAACAGCAGGAGAGTTCAGCCACAGGAATGAGCTGCGGGGTCGGCTGGATCCCAAACAGTACCCATTCTGAACAAACAGCAAGCTACTATTACTCCTGCTGGCTTACAAATCCCAAGAAATAGCCATTTGTGTCATTATAGGTATCAATAAAATTGTCTTAGGATAATTTGGCTACCCCAAGATGACTCATCTGGAAAGCAGTAGGCAAAAGATGAATCCCCGCTGCCCGGCTCCAGAGCTAGCTGCCTTTAGCTCACACACTACCAGGCAGGTTTCCTATCAGCTAAGTGGATTGGTTTTGGGGACCAAGCAAATAAACTTACTACCAAGTCGGACTACCAAGACAACTGTGGGAAATCTGTAAATAAAGAATGCTTACAAAAGCTTTAGGTCGGTTGATCTTTTAATATAAAAGAAATACAAATTATCCCTAGTGAGGGTAATTCACATAAACATCGACCCCAAGCAAGGAAGATTCTTCATCCATGGCCCAACAAAGAAAATCCTTATTGCTTACAGAATTTTCCATAATAAACTCAGATATTTTCAAAGCCACCTGCTGGATTTTTCTGTACATCTTCCTCTGCAGGGATTAAAATGATAGCCCAGTTGCAAGCTCTTTCTGGAGAGAGGTAAATTATTTCACTTCTCTTATTCTCTGTAAAGCGGACAGTTTTGTCACTGGCTAGGCGACTCACCACAGCTCGCCAAAATTATCTTCCCTCATCCCCAGTCTCTGTTCTTTTAGCTGTCTCCCTTCAGTCTCTTACTTGGGTCTTCCACCTTCAGCTCTGTAATGTACACCTTAGTCCCTCATTTAAAGCACTTCTTATACAGTTCAGGAGGAAATTACTATTTCAGTGAGTCCATAATCTAAGCCCAAGGTTATCTCAAAGGAATATGTTTGAAACAGCAAATCATCTATGTGGAAAAGCAATGTAACCCAGTGGCTAAAAGTACAGGCTACCATCAGATTGCCTGGTATCAAATCCTGAATACATCCATTTCTGTAGTCTTGGGGAAAACTGCTTTATCACGGTCTCTCTCTGCTCACCCATGAATTAAGAAGTGACCAACTTATGTCACAGCAAGAATTAGAACACATGCAAACTTGACACAGGGTATCTGGCACATAACTGCTGAACAAATACTGACTGTTAAGTATTGTGGCTCACATAATAGCCTAGGCATGTCCTTATCTAAGAAGACAGAGCATTCCCTAAGTATGATAGCATGGGTTTTAGAAGGATCCAAGCCAGGTGAAAAGGTTTACCAGGTATATGATGAGGGACTGATGGCATAGCTTGCTGTAGATACCAAAAATATTGTCAAGGTCAATTCCATAAGCATGGCATTGGTAATCAACGTAGGTAGGTGGCTGTCAGGAACAAAAACTTGTGAGTCTCTCTCTCTCTCTCTCTCTCTCTCTCTCTCTCTCTCTCTCTCCTTCTCCCTCCCTCCTTCCCTCCTTCCCTCCCTCCACCTCCTCCTCTTCCTCCCCCCTCTGTGTGTGTGTGTGTGTGTGTGTGTGTACCACAAGCATTTACAGAATGTATATTTAGATCTTAACAGAGATCTCAAGGTTAAATCAAATTTGGTAGCTGACAGACATACTAGTTGAAGATCTGTAGGCAGTGAGAAGGTTGCACGAAAGGCAAACATATGGGAGCAGGTCAGTGGTGGGAGGAGTGAGTAAGGGGCTATGCAGATGTGACAGAGAACTGGAAACTGGGGACTGGGAAATGCCACTGGGCATAAGTAGGGTGCCACTTAAGGGCTGTAGTATTTAAGCAGAGCAGTGTTAGCTTAGGAACTCACAGGTTCGGAAAAGTTCAAAGAATTGCCAGTAAAAGAGGCTGCCAGCTTAAAGTCCAAAACAGAGGACCTTGTCGAAGGATGACATATTCCCAAGTGTATTTTGGGAAAGGAGAAAGGACAGAAACCTTGTTTTCCTAATTCCTGTATCTCCAACTCCTGGCCTATACACATTTACTTAATATAAGAATCAAAACATTCACCAAACAAGATGGATTTTAATGATCTTTAATTCAGTGACCATCTGTTCTAACTTGGGACAGTTTAGAAGTGACCGAGGAGGGCCAGAGAGATGGTGCAGTGTGGAAAGGTGCTTGCCGCCAAACCTGATGATCCAAGACCGACCCCTGGGAGCAAATGGTAGAAGGTGAGAAGAACTAATCCAAGTTGCCCCTTGACTTCCACATGGGTTGCGCCATGCTCATGACTACATGCATATGCACACAGAGAAAACATTAACACAACTTTTTAAAGGAAGCCAAAGAAGTGAGATCCCACAATAGAGACCTGGTCTTCTATAACTCACAGGGTGGCCAGGTAGAAATACAAGCCAGGAGCTTCTCATGTGCTATAAAAGGTCCAGGGCTTTCAGCTGTCTCCAAATTCACCAGTGTTTTTCTTTTCAGTTGAAGAAGAACTGACTCAGACTTCTGATCACCAGAACAAGTTTGGTCCTTCCCCACACAAGAGAAGGAGACGAAGATGAGGGTGGGTGTCACCCAATGGACAAAGCACCATGAATTTCGAAAGGTCAGGGAGCAGCAGTCAACAGAACAACCAGGAAACAAGAAAGAACAGTGAACGCATCAGTTGCTACCAGAGGACTTCTGCATGATCCCACGTTAATGGCAGTTCCCTCAGAAAGTACCATGAACTTAAACTTTTCTTTAACATGCTTTATGAATCAGGCATATCACGAGTTTCTTTCATTGTGACTATGCTTATTTACTTTGCGGAGAATATTCTTAAAATAAAATTCCTAGATCTCATCATCTTTCTCCATGAAATCTCATGTAATTTTGCCTTTAAGACTAAGGGAACCCTGAGAGAAATAAAATAAATAGCAAAAGATGGTGCCCAAGGGAGCCCAGTGGATGCTATACATGGCTCCTTCCATTAGGGTCCTCTAGTCAGTCTGAAACATGGTAGCTCCAGACAGTGTTCAAGACCTGACTTTGTGTCTCTCCTTTTCCCAACTTTAAGACAATGTAAGCCCTCTTTGTGGCAGGCTGCACCAAACATGTGAATCTCCGTGTTAGCTATGGGTCACTTACCAACATAGCTTCCCGGTGGCAGAGATATTGACAAAGTGATACATGGGAAAGGAAGAGAACTCAAATGTTACTCTAATCCCCCAGGAGAATAATTCAAGGTGTTTGTTTGTTTGTTTGTTTGTTTGTTTTTGGTTTTTTGGTGTTTTTAAAGTAAAACCCAAACACCAGGGAGCTCTTGCTAAGTGGAAAGCCACCATCTCAGAAGCAGAATTCCTATCATTCACTGGGCTCTAAAGAGCACAGACAACTGACACAGCACTTCCTTCAAGGCGGCAGTTAAACAGACTGTGCACTCTGTGCTCTCCATAGTCTTCTAGTTAATAACAGCAATGTCCAGCAGGCTTCAACTCTGGCTTGATTCCAACCTTTGTACATGATTCCACTGCTCTGAGTGGTTTTATGAAACAGCCAATGTGATCATCAGTTTTTTGTTTTTTTTCAAAGCACGAATTTTGGTAGTGACAGTTATCCAAGACTGTAATGATTGAAAGTCACCACACCTCACTGTGGCCTGCTGTTTCCTGCCTTTTCCTTTCAGCCCCACCCTGGAATTTTTCACAGGCTTTCTCTTGGCATGCCTTTAACTTTCAGATCAACTGACAACACTTGTTTTTCCGTTTTAATAGCACTCAATTCTATGGAGACTGTCGGGTCTTTCAGAGTTGGGTAATTTCTAATTGTTCATGCCATATGGAAGAAGTAATGCTATTCTTTTGGTTCTGAGAAGGATCTCTTTTTTTAGTCCCTGGTGGAAGCAGTTTGTGTAAAAAAATGCATTAACAGGTGGTGAGAAGGGACACAGCAGAGTCTCATGCCGGGCAGCTGTGAGGCCAATCTGTGGCTCAGCATCAGCTGCCTCCCTTTTCCTCCACAAACTGGAACTTCAGCAATCTGAGCCTGGGCTTCGTTGGCCCCTTGACCACTCACTTAATGACTGTGTAACAGATGCACTCGGACGGAACACACATGTTTTGAATAATTGTTATAGGACGGCTTCACGGTGTTCATGCTGAACACGAGAGCAAAGAATTGACAAGACCATATGCATGTGCTTTTTATAAGAACATTAGGTGGCTGGAGAGATGGCTCAGAGGTTGGGAGCACTGGCTGCTCTTCCAGAGGACCCAGGCTCAGTTCCTAGCACTTGCATGGCACCCACAACTGTCTTTAACTCTGGTTCCAGGGGATATGCATATGCGTGCAGGCGAAAAACCCATAACATAAAATAAATAAATCTTTAAAACAATGTTAGCTGTCTGTCATGAAAAGTCCCAGGGGTTTCACTACCAAATCAGTGAAGGACCCACTAACAGCTTTGCCAAATCTGAGGATCCAGCAGCTGCTGGGTTGAATCTTTGGTCAAATGTCAGTTTAGATCTCATTCAGTCAGCTTCTGGCAGCTTCTAACTCAGACCACAGTCTCCTTACATCATCCAAAGTCAACTCCAACATATGCCCTGAAGCCCCAGGGCACCACATCGATTCCCTCAACTCCAGATGTTCTCACCCAGGCAGCTCCTGATCTCGTTTCTGTTCCCTGCTAACCTTATTGCTAATATTACTTCCTATTATCCAAAAAAAAGTATCCAGTAGGTTTAACGGTTCTCAACTCCATTCCTGCAGTAAAACCTCAATGGGCCCTTGAAGCACCCTCACATGGCTCTTGTGAGTCAGAGAAAAAATTTAGTAAGCTTGTTATAGAGCGATGGAAGCTCAGAGAAGTTTTATTTATGTATATGGTCTAGAATTCAAACGACTTCAAACTCATGACCCTCCTGCCTCAGTCCCATGGAGTGGCAGGATTACAGGCAAACATCACCACACCCAGCTTTAAGGCTGTGGTAATTTTCCAAGGTGTTTTTTGCTTTCTCTCTCTCTCTCTCTCTCTCTCTCTCTCTCTCTCTCTCTCTCTCTGTGTGTGTGTGTGTTTCTGAATTAGTACTTGGCAGTTTGGTGTTGCCCAAGATGGCCCATCAAAAGACTTCTAGAAAGAAATGGACTGCAAGTCCATGGCCTCTTCACATCCTGAACCTAGTTGGTAAGACAGAAAATTAGGCATAGGTATACACTTCATGTCCTCCAAGACAGAATTTGTAATCTCTTAGCCATAAGATAATAATTAACCATTCCAGGGATTTCAGTGCTTTCTAGTAGCAATGAGAAAGTCAAGAATACATTTTTCTTGAAATGTCAAGTTCTCTGGCAAAAATGTATCTTAGAAATCAGAATTCATACCTTATAACTTGTCATAATTTAGAAATGTTAAACATACTTCAGATAAAAAATTCAAAGCATGCGCTAAAGGTCATGCTTTGAATCTGCAATGTCCCCTGCAGGTGTATCTGTTGAACACCTGGCCCCAACTTTATTTTGAAGCTCTAGGTAGAGCCTTTCGGCCCTGCTTGGCAGAAGTGGAAAGTTATACCTGTCCATGGGCCTGCCCTGCTGTGCCTCTTTCTGTGCATTATGAGATGATCCTGGTACACACTCCTGGTTGCTACTGGCTCCCCTATGCCTCTCGAACTATAATGAACTGAAACCTCTGAATCAGTAAGAATATAGTTTCCTCCTTTAGATCCCAAGATACGAGTGTCTGTAGGATCATGAAAGGACAGCATGGCTTCTGGTCAAGGACCAGCTAGAAATCGCCATAGACCCCAAGTGATCCTAAGGGTCGGCATGAATTTCGCCATGCTCCCAGACTCTAGGCTCCTGACAGGAGGCCACAGACCTCCATAGATCCACACCTTTCAGTCATGTAGGACAATGCCCCTCCATAGAGGGTGTGACTACAGGCCACAGAGCCTCAAGACAGATCTCCATATTAATGAGATATCTAAAGGCCAGGGGGTGTAGCCAATTAAGCATTCTTCCCAGACCCTCCTCCTTGCAAAAGGTATTTAACCTCAGGCCCGCCCTGAGAATACCAGGTATAGTTTTCATCTGTTTTCCATCATGACAGTAAATGTCTTAAGACCATGGACTGTTTCTCTTCTTTGGGTCCCACATGGGGAACAGTGGAGCAGGTCTTCATCTATAGAGCCGCTGTCTAATCTCCCACAGAACTCTCTGCGTTTCCAGCCACAGAGACTACCAACCCAAGCAAGCAAGCAGCCAGCTGTGACCCAGCCAAGTGAGTCCTCAAAACCAAGAACTCTCATCACCATGGGACGCAGCCAGAGCTTCTCCCCCTCCCCGCTTCACCTGGAGGCAAATCTAGCCCACACACCCCCACTTCGGTCTCGGCCCTTCCACAGCTTCCCACTAGTGCCTGTGAGCCCAAGGGCCTGAGAACAAACGGGTTCCTGGTAGCCTTTTGGCCTGGGAACCCACTGGACTTCAGACTGTGCTCCCCACCCCCAAGCAGAGTCCCGGGTGTCAGCATGGAGTGAACACAGTCCAATTCCCACTCCTCTGTCCCCATGAGAGGTCCTAACCATGTGGCGAGACAGAGGCAGGCAAGACTCACACACACTACAACCTAACAAGTGTCAAGCTGTGGGACAGATCCTAGCATGAATGACCCAAAAGGAATGGAGCAGAAAGCACACATTCTGAGATTTGTATTTATAAATCAGTAAGATTATTAAAAAAAATATCTACTTAAAAATCACAAATCTGTACCTTGAAACTCTTTGATCCACTTTCCTACTTACACTGCCATTTAGCAAGTTTACTGAGTGATGATGGGATGAAGACACTTTTCCAGGACTCCTGCTGCCTCCTCCTGCTAGAATAAAGCTGAACCCATGCACTGACTGCACTGCCTCACCCAAGGCTGCTCTAGAGGCCCTTTCTAGCACTGCTATTACCATTGGATACACGTACAAAGAGTTCTCACCTACTGTCACATGATTGTTTAAATATGGACTGCATATACACTGACTTTGTGATGGGAAGCATATTTACAGAAGCACGTTTGGTTTCATAATATGCCCATGGTTTGGCTCGCTGAGACAGGTTTCCCCAGATAGTTGTTTTTGTAACAATTATAGAGAACGTGAGAAAGGCCTTTCACAAGTTGATAATTTAGTAAAAACAGATCTCAGAGAAGACACTTTTGCAAATCATATTTCCTGTGCTCACTTTAAAGAACTACAAAAAGAAATTCTATGTAACGCTTCAAAAAAGATTGCATGGTTGACCATTTTCTGTATCATGTTTAAAACACAAGTAGGCCCATCACATGGTACACCTTGGTGAAAGCTCCCAGTGAGCAATTTCAATCACAGGTGGACACAGTCCCTCAACAGTCTGCTCCGTGCTCCGAGAACACATGGTAGACATGAGGCAGGACACAAAGCAGCAGGGCACGAGCAGTGCCCCAAAACATTGCCTAAAAGCATACAAAGAACAGAGGGCAGGCCTCCCTGGTGGAACTCAGACCTCAGACCTTGTAACTAACTAGAGCATCATTTGACTGGGCGCATGGAATCTGGTATGTGGAATGCTGGATTTGCAAACTTTTCACAATTTCCACCAGGTCACTGAGGCTAGCAGGAGTAAAAAGACAAAACAGAGCTTAGCCACTCTTAAATGCTATTATTTCAAGTAGTCTGTAAAAATGCTAGATTATCTGATGGAAAAATAGCACTCCAGCTTATTTCTTTAATGTTTATGAAAAGAGAACTGACACATTTATAGAATAAACAAACTTTTATTTTATAACAGTATTACATAAAGCAAAATATTTAATACAACTTGAAGCTGCAATAAATCTAATCTGGCGTCATAACTATACATAGAGTCAAAAGCAAATGAGAAAAATGTTCAATACAGTTAATAAACCCCTACCAGCTCTCTGGTGTTAGCTTTACATGGAATAGCTTTCTTACAACCAACCAAACCCACCACTGTCCCCCGAACTCTTTCCCCAGGATCTTCAAAGCTCAAGTCATCAAACTACGTCAGAGATATACCTGCTCAGTAGCAAAGGGTCAGTTTACATGCAAAGCAAGTGTTCTACTCAAGTGTTCAGACAATGGCAAGAACTGGAATTGGGGAGGTTAACAAAGGAATCTCTCAGGCTTGAAGCTGCCTGGTTTTCTTTTAGTAGTAAAAGGGAAGGGCACATGGTGTGGTTCTCCTCCTGTTCTGGAATGCTGTGGCAAAGCGCATGTCTGAGAAGTACTGCACCGTGGGCCGATGGTCTCTCAACACAGTACCTGGTCAGTGAGCTTGGTAATTCTCCAGTCCAGAGAGTCTCTGACTCTACTGAAGTGCAAAGTCACAGGACTGGAAGGTCAAAGGTCAATATAAAAATCATCCATAGCAAAACTCCCTAATATTAGAAAAATTTCAAGATGTAAGAAATGCTTTTAACTGGCATTAATATGTTCTCACGCAGTATCCCTACTGCAGTCTGAAAGCTGTATATATTGACTCTAAGAATTGCATGGAGACAATCTTGAAGAATGAAAATTGCTATCTAAATTAGTCACAGTCTCCTTTCCACATAACAGCACCTGTTCAAGTGAACAGCACCTCACCAGCCCGGCTGGCTTTGCTCACTGTCATCTGAGCAAATGAGTCAAAAAAGCAGGTAGAGAAAGGAAACACAAACCCTAATAAAAAACAAAGCATTTTTAAAAAAGAGGACAGGAGGGAAGGAAAGCCAAGGGGAGCCGGGGTGTCTAAAAGTGGTTACACAACAGATAATGTATTAGAAATGTGTGGGAATAGTAGAGACCAGAGCTGGTAAGGTACGGTTTGCTGTTGGCATTTTAATTCTTCAGGCTTCTGGTCATTGTCACCAGTTGGAGCACAGTTTTGCTGCAGTGGTGGCGGGGCGTTAAGACTTGGAATGGTCAAAGTTCTTCAGATTCACGAAGTTAAATGTTGTTTAAAAAAGACTTTCTAGGAAAGAAAAAAAAGACATAAATCTTAAATATTCCAAAGCCAGCAGCTTAAAAACAAAGTTAAATAATCAAAATTTCAATCAAGTAATCACTAGTTATCTGCCTACTTTAACAGGAAACAGTGTATGTACTGAAGATAAGCATGAGGCATGCATTGCAAACCTAGGAGCCTGAACATTCCTGGAACTGGCGAGAACAGAAGAGGGAGCAAGATTTAGTTAACGCCGAAGAGACAGCATTCGCAGTGTAATGAACGCCCCAGTGTCTAGTACTCATTGTCCTTCTACAGCTGCAGGTCCCCATAGCCAACTGTGGTCCACAGACAGTATGTGCGAAATTCACAAAGCTGAAGCTTGAAACGGAGGACAGCTTTAAGCAGACTGATGGTCTCTCACCCAGCCCCATCCAGTTGATGGGCCAAGACCCTTCTGTCCAGCACAGACACTGCAGAGGCCCTCTGTCCAGAACAGAAACTGCACAGGCTCTCTGTCCAGCACAGACACTGCACAGGTCCTCTGTCCAGCACAGACAAACACTGCACAGGCCCTCTGTCCAGCACAGAAACTGCACAGGCTCTCTGTCCAGCACAGACACTGCACAGGCCCTCTGTCCAGCACAGACACTGCACAGGCCCTATGTCTAGCACAGACAGACACTGCACAGGCCCTCTGTCCAGCACAGACAGACACTGCACAGGCCCTCTGTCCAGCACAGACACTGCACAGGCTCTTTGTCCAGCACAGACACTGCACAGGCCCTCTGTCCAGCACAGACAGACACTGCACAGGCTCTCTGTCCAGCACAGACAGACACTGCACAGGCCCTCTGTCCACTCTGTCCAGCACAGACACTGCACAGGCTCTCTGTCCAGCACAGACAGACACTGCACAGGCCCTCTGTCCACTCTGTCCAGCACAGACACTGCACAGGCTCTCTATCCAGCACAGACAGACACTGCACAGGCTCTCTGTCCAGCACAGACACTGCACAGGCTCTCTGTCCAGCACAGACACTGCACAGGCCCTCTGACCAGCACAGACAGACACTGCACAGGCCCTCTGTCCAGCACAGACAGACACTGCACAGGCCCTCAGTCCAGCACAGACACTGCACAGAACACTTGTCATTCACCATTTAGCAGCTGTTTTGGTAATTAAGTCAAATATCACAGTATAGGTGGCTGCCTTCAAGTAACCCTTATTTTTCTTATTAGTGGTCTCAAAGTGTCTGAGCATAGATATTGACAATTCAGATTTGCTAAAAGGAAGTCACAGTAGGTTTCCCTTGACTGAAGAGCCAAAGCAGGCAGTGTGTGAGGTTCAGTACTGGTTGGTTTCAGGCATCTACCAGAGCGGTGAGACATTGATGCCCTGAGGTAAAGGGGCCCTCTATAAAAATGAAAGTTAATTGATACAGGCTTTCAATTCCACCTGGGAAGGTCCAGCTGTTTTTTTCACACTGAGAGGAACAGGCAGCGACTTCAAGTGGTGAGAACAGGCGAAGAGGCACAGAAAGCACAGGATTATGGTACTGAGACGGACTTAGATTTATGTGGGAGAGGAGACAGGAAGTGAGTGGAAGACAAATGCAGAAACAACACCCCAGTTAGCATGGGCACACAGTAATAAGGTGAGGTGGATCAGGTCTCTTCTTAACCAGAGGAAGAAGTATGGACTTGAGCCAATAATGATGGAGGTACCTGGGGGAAAGAAGGCTTGTCAAAAAGATCAACTGTAACCATCCAGAGCAGAGTGCAGAGCCAGGGAAAGGGAACACAAGACTCAGGAGGGAGGGGTGTCAGCCATGTAGAACACAAGAGAAGATGCAATTGTTTCTCCTTTGCTCTTGAGGATGTCTAGCATAGCTGAAGTCACATTCTCAAAGCAAGACTTGTTATGACTTCAGTGTAGTGTGCCTGCTGAAGGTAAAGGGAACAGAGGCCAGAATACTGGTCAGAAGGAGCCCCCAGGGCCAGGCTGGATGAAGAAGATGGCAATGCCCAGGTGTTATCATAAGGGAGTAAGACTCAGACTTGAGTTGTTGCCACAGAACGGGACCAATGACTGCCCAAGTGGTAGCCCATGCCTTCACGCCCAGCACTCAGAAGGCAGGTGCAGGTGGAGCTCTGTGGTTTTGAGGCCGGCTTGATCTATATATTGAGCTTCAGACAGCCAAGGCTACAATAGTGACACCTTGTCACAAAACAAAAACCAAAAACAACTAAAAAGACAGGTAGTTATACAATACTACAAAGTCTGGAACATAAAAGGAGTGGAAGGAGGAGGCACAGAGCCTGTAGGAGCCCTAAGGTCTACAGACGCGTGTCTGTGAGTCAGCACACAGGGATCCAAGCAAGACCAAAACGTATAAGGAAACTGGATGTGAGCATCAGGCAAAAAGGAAACACAGTCTCAGGGATGCTCCCAAGCCCATCATTAAAGGCAGACAGACAGCAGAGAACTACAAACGACTCATCATCCCTGAGCTAGCAAAAGGTTTTCAGATATAACTCCTTCATATTCTATGTCAACTTGACAAAAATTCTGGCAAATGTATTAATTATAGAGGACAGTGGACATTAATGTTCTTTCCAGAACATACCAGTCCCAAAATAAATTGAGAATGTACATGGTATTGGTCAGATAAAATTCTTATTTTGATAGGGGAAAAATACTCCCTACTATTTAGAAGCAGCACAGATAATATTAGAACCTCTTGATTAACCAGGGCAGGATGACTAATGCAGGCCATTGTTTCCCACCCTGCTGTCTTCCTCATTACTCATTAGCATGTCTGCTCAAGTCCAGGCAGGGACATCAACCAAAGTCTTTCTGGCTGGGAATCCCACAGAGAACCCTGGGGGATGGTGACCAATCAACTGCTCTGGAGGGTTATCTGCCACCTTTGGCCTCACTACCCCTTCTTGCACTTTGACACCTAGTATCTCTGCTCTGCCTGGTAAATATGTATCATTTCTTGAACACAGCTGCCAAAGAAAACAACCCCTTCATGCACTGAAATAATGCTTTCAGTACAATGGGTTAGACACATTAGTAAGATTGGGATGATAAAGAAACAAGGTTAGTGTTGACTGTCTCTCAAAGAACAGCAGAGGTGACATGACATTTTTCTTTAGGTTTTTAAAATCTGTCTTAATAAAAAGTGTCAAAAATTAGAGATAAGAACAAAAATTATGTTTTGATGATATTACAAGGAAAACTAAGAATATATAGGAAACTGAAGACAATAGGTAAAGAAAATCTTCAAAACCTATTCAATTTAACAAACTAAAAAAATACATTAAAAGGTCCTTTATTCCCATCTAGTTACAAGGAAACCACTAAAAATGTCTAATAGGCTAATTTTTCTGGTAAAATCACAAACGGCAATCTTGACATGCTTCTAGAATTCCAAGCAGCTTTTAGAATCTAAGAAACTTGCATTTTAGTGTCAAATCCATTAATTACTTTCTAAGCTGTGGTAAGCTAACAATTAGTTAATTGATTCCTGTGAAAATCGCAATACCTGGACTCCGAATTGTTTAGACAGATGAGCAGTAAATCTGTGTTGTACAGTTCTTTATTTATACATCCTTCTACCTTCGCTCCTGTATTTAAACACAGCAAGTATCCCTAAGAACTAAGCATTTACATTCTGAACTAAGGGCAAAGTCAAGGATGGACCCACTAACATCACTGGCATACTCACATTAAATGCTTTAATCTTCATTTCTTGAATATATAAAATAAACTTAATACATGACAAGTTTTTATAGCTTTGGGTCTAAATGACTGACACTTATCTCAACTACAAATGAGGTGCTGCACCTTTAGGTAAGAGCTGAATGGCCATGAGACTGTCCCTTCCTGCGCTGGTGTGGACAGGGAGAGAGCAGATAGCTACGGTTCTGCACAGAGCTACATCTCCCGTGCACAGCCCTCTTTTTCTTTCTTCCTTCTTTGCTTTTTTGAGACAGGGTCTCACTGTGTGGCCCTGGCTGGCCTGGAACTCACTATAGACTGGGTTGGCCTCGAACTTACAGAGATCTTCCCTGCCTCCGCCTCCCAAGTGCAGATTAACTGTGTGTACCACTATGCCTAATCTGTTTTCTTTAGGACAGAATTCTATCTTGTACTTTTACAGTATCAATACAAGCTGACAGGTATGTTCATCTTTATAACATTGTAGAGTTTGTTACAAGGTCAAATGCTATTAAGCTTATGGGTTATATTTTATGTATTAGAAATGTGGCTGAGTGCGCACGCGCACACACACACACCACCCTGGATTTGTGCAATGTTAGTAAACATTTCTAATTACCACAGTCGTTCCCAAGCCTGTGTCCCCCTTGTCTGGCCAATATGGAAATGGGCCAGCGTGGCTCCACATGCTAGGTCTAATTCTTTAAGGTTAAGTTCTTTAAGAACACACACTGTCCCATGCTTACTTAGCATGTCACATGGGTTGAGAGGTCAGCTTTACTTTCCCCAGGAGCACCTTTTTTGAGAAAAAGTCAGGTTCACACACAGAAGTGCTATGGTCTCACTTTAGCGGCATACGCTTAGGCTTGAGGTCACATGTCTTAGCCTGCTGAGCTCCAGAAAGTGAGTCAGTAAACTGCTTTTAAAACACATTTAATACTGCCTGTAAGCAGTGTTATCCAAAGAGAAGTCTGAATAAAAATAAAAACTCGGGTTTTATACAAAATAATTTAAGAAAAAAATGAAAAAATAACACAAAAGGCTTCAAATTAGAGAAAATTCGATTACTGCAAAGCAGTAATAGAGTCAGAGATCTAGAAAACAGAAATATTTATGTAAGACACAATACAACTATTTCTGAAATTACAAGCTCTGAACGGTCAAGCATGACTACTAGGGTTACAAGGGACACACCTCAACATAATAAAGGCAAGTAACAACCAGCCCACAGCAACAACTTAAATGGAGAGAAACTCAAAGTGTTTTCATTACAATCAGGAACAAGGCAATGCTGTCC